GTTTATAGATTAAACAGTACATTAGACATGTACTGTATATAAGAAAGGTTAAAACGGAATCATTTGGGGGTCTGAAACAGGTCAATTCAATTTACAGTATTTCTAATGGGAAAAATGATTCCATTTTTGAACAAATTGCTTCTTGAACAGCCTTCCAGAACAAATTAAGTTTGAGAACCAAGATTCCACTATATTTGCAGACTCTATTGCTGAAGCAAGGTGGGGGCAGGGGGAGAAAAGCAGGAGAGGCATGCCCACAATGAGGCTACTCTACCAGGATGATAGCATTGCTGTTTCTGAAAACAATATCACAGGAAGGCTGAGGGATGGCACAGAGTGGGAGTATCTTTCTTGTCTTCTCAACAAATAGGACTTAATGTGAAACAGAAAGGAATGCAGCCAAAAAAGGCCAGCCATGGGATCATGAGTAGGTGAAAGCTCAAAGTTGCAGGAAGTTCAAAGGCTGGGAGTGACAGAGTCAGCAAGCTGCTCATAAGGGTGCTCTGCCCTCAACATCTTTCTTCCCATGCTCCCAGGGAGATCGGCTTCCTCCTGAAAGGGCAAACTCCCACAGCGGGAGGGTCCACTGAGCGTTCACACCAGGCACTGGTCCAGCTCCACTTCCCAACAGCTGGGCTCAGAGGGGCACCAAGAACTGTGCTGACGGACAGTCTGTCACAGCTCCGCACGCACATTCAGCTGAACCGCTCTTCCATCTACTGTGTTTACATGGTGGCCTGCTGCCACTCAGGCTGGCAAGAGAGCCCGGTCTGTCACCCCTACCCCATTCTTGTCTCACAGTGGGAGCAGCACTTGCTCTCCCAGGGGGAATTACCAGACTCTTTGGGGGGCTTTATTTATATTCAACATGTAAATAAAATCATCTTCTTTTTAGAGGGGTTAAAAATGGTTGACAGGAGCACCTCCGCATACTCATCACCCGAGCTGTAATGAGGAAGACTGCCCCCTGGGAAGGATGTGAAGCCCACAGAAACTCGTGCTGGAGAGGAGAACACGAGACTGCTGGTGGCGCCACAACGCCGGAGCGCGGCATTCCCTACACCCAGCAAGGGCACGCCAAGCTGTTAGGTTGAATCACATGAAATTGCTAATATCCCGCCATTTCGAACAACAAAGATGGCAGTTTTACCTATTCAACTTAATAGATACCCAACAAAAATGAATACGTATGTTCACCAAAAACATGCGCTAGACGCTCATAGCAGCATCTTTCACAACAGCCCCTGGAAACACCAAGTGCCCACAGCAGTGGGAGGGATCAAACACCACGGCACACTCCCAGCAGGCATCATGGCGCAGTGCTGGGCGCAGTGGGAACGGAAGGCCCCCGGTCACCTGGGACGAGGCGAGGCCTGCACATGCAGCACGGCCAGACACACGGACACAACAGACACTGGTGGAGTCTGCACAGGTGGAGCTCAGGAACAGGAATGCCCCACTGCTGTTGTGAGAAGTCAGGTAGGGGTCATCCCGGGGTGGGGCTTTGGGGTGCATCATATTCCACTTCATAGCCTAGGGGATGGTGACGGGTATGTTCAGTTTGTAAAAATGTATCAAGTTGTATATGCTTTTTAAATATGTGATTTCCTATATATATAATTCAGTAAAAAGTAAAAGAAAAGGCTGATCTTTTTTATTCTTCTGCCCACCCCATTGCAGAAGCCAAGCCATCCAGCAGCTCCGCATGCCGCTGGGGCCTCAGGTGCAGCTCCGTCCCTGGTGGCAGGGGCCTGTGCTGCTGCCACGCTAGCAGGGGGCATCCTCGGAACCTGGGCGTGGGCCACCGTGCTGCTCTGGGCTGGTCTCTCAGGCTCGGTCAGGGCTGGCGTGGAAAGGCAGGAATGCCGGCCCAGATTTTACACATAAGGAGGTATTAGCCCAAAGAAGTTAAAATACCTGCTGAGGTTAGACAGTAGAAAGAAGCAGTGCTGGGAGGAGGTGCTGACTCTGATGGGAAAGTTTTGGGGGGCAGGAAAGGGTGTGTTGGCCTGGTGTCTCCAGGGAGAGCCAGGGTCCACAGACAGTGCAGGTGTGCCCTCAACAGGGAATCCCAACACAGTAAACAGAGGAAGCGTGGATCATTACCCTTGTCACGGCCGTACTTGCCAGGGCGCAGCTGACAACCCACTGGGCCTAGTTGCAGGAAGTACTCCTTCTAGGTCTGACTCCAGAGGGACCTCACCTGTGGCCACTGTGGGCTTGCACAGTTTAGGCTGGGATGCCCCATCTTTTTAAAGCAAAAGTCACTATTCATTTTCCTGATATCAAATACTGGGGGTGCTGAGGCAAGGGAGTGTGCTGGGAACATCCCAGAATGAAAGGGTTTTGGGGGGCATAGGTGGGGGTGAGGAGGGTAAGGGGTGAAATGATTTGAGCCTCTATTTGTGTGTGTGTGTGTGTGAGAGAGAGAGAGAGAGAAAGAGAGAGAGAGAGATATCTGGTGGGTAGAATGAAGGGGTAGGGACACATAAGGACACGTGATAGGGCTCTGTCACCCACACTCCTACCTTCCTTAGAGCTTTAGCAAACTACATTCATTCATTAAAAAAAAACGATGGCCCTGGCCAGTGTGGCTCCGTGGTGAGAGCATCGGCTCAAGCATTGGATGGCCATTTGGTCAATTCCTGGTCAAGGGCACATACCTGGGCTGTAGGTTCGATCCCTGGCTCCAACTGGGGCACATGTGGGAGGAAACTGATCAATGTGTCTCTCACGTTGATGTTTCTCTCTCTCTCCCCATCTCCCTTCCACTCTCTCTAAAAATCAATGGAAAAAAATCCTCAGTGATATTTTATTAGAAAGA